TGCTAGGAACCCCCTTTATTTTAGTCTACATGGTGAAACTGCAGCACACCTATGCAAGAGGTCACTGGGAATTCAGGACTCCCGCATCACACGTGTGTCACACTTCAACACACCTAACTAGAGAGAGGGCTCCTCCAGGCCCAGCCCCACCATCAAGAACCACATACTGATTTTCAGTCTTAGAAACAAGACATTCCCTCTAGACTGACTAGCCCACTCCCAGCAGGAGGGTAAGCAGCCACTTTTCTGAAAAGCTCTTTCACAACAGATAATAAATCCTTTAAAATGTGCAAGATCCTAGCCTCTATATTATTTTAATTATTTTGTGCTAAAGAATATATGAAAGGGGTCAGGGAGATGGCTCAGTGGAATTTGTGCTTCCCTGGCAAGCGCAAGGGTCTGAATTCAATCCCAGGTTCCACCAAAATAATAATAATAAATAAAGAATATATGAAAGATGTGTATATAAAGTAAGCTTTGGGAATAATCACCACAGCATTGATTTAATAGAAAGAAAGAACAAGGATAGAGTGTGTGAGAGAGAAGAAAGGAATGGGAGTGGCAGAGAGGGAAAGGGAAGGGGAAGCGGAGGGCAGGGAGGGAGAAGGCAGAAAGGGCAATAACTCAGTGTAGTCCCAAAGAGAACTTCAGGGTATGGCAGATGCATTAAAATACCTACGTAAAGCTTAATGGGAAAATTGTGAACATTTTCACAATGTTCACAATTTTTAAAGTACAGTTAAAATCAGGTCACCCATCAATACGCAATCTAAGAAATATGAATTATGCATTTGATATAACCGTGGTTATCTTTGGGTAATGGAAAGTCATGAGGTTTTAAATTATTTTTCTTTTTATTTTTTAAAATGAACTATACTACTACTTGATAAGAAATAACATAAAGCCATAGTTCTTAAACATAAAGGTGAACCCGAGACTCCAGAACTGGGCAGGGATGCCTCTGCTGCCCTCATCTCCTGACACACAAAGCCTTGCCTCCTGCTGCTCAGCTCTGGATGCCAGTCCCAGGGCCGACCTGGATTACACAAGGAGCTACGTAAAATGCTAGATTCTGTAATCTGACTGGGATATTGATTTTAAAAATCATGCATAAAATTCATGTATTAAAAAAAGCACAAAACTGTATGTTCCCCACCTAAAGAAGCTAAAACCAATTCCATATATCAATATGAATATAAATACTTGGGGCTGAAAAAGTTTTGGTTAAAAAGAAAAGAAAACAAAAATCCCAAAGCCACTACCTTTCTCAAATGACCAAGTCTGATGAGTTGAAGGGAGATCACTAAGCCAGGTAATCTTAACCCCATAAATGCACACACACACACACACACACACACACACACAGACTGAAGCAATGCGCCTGTATCTCTCTGCCGGAGTCTGTGTGGAGCTTAGGCATGATAACGTGAAAATGCTAGCTGAGCTGCGAGCTGATGCTCTGCAGCACCACCAGTCCTGTTCCCACCCACAAACAGCCTCCTAGGAAGTTTCCCAGGCAGTTCCCTCCTGAGTACCACATGGCCTGAGGTCCATCTGGCAGCTCCGAGAGACCAGCTTGGCACCACACCTGGCACGGAGCCAAGGCAGAGCAGCTACGTACACTTTACTTCTTCCCAGAGGGGGAGAAAGGGTCCTGGTATCCCAGCTCACAGACGCTTTGGGGCAGACAGTGAACTCTCGTTTTTAAAGAAAGGTTTTTCTCTCCTCAGTTGTCAGACTTTAAACCAACAACCAACTCTAAAGACAAAACAATCAGCTATGCTAAATCTTTGGTGCTGCAGGTCCCTCTCCATCTTTTCAAGGTCACAACTCCTCCCTGCTGGATGATTACAGGGATGCCTGAAGGGTACATGGGTACTTTTCTAAAAAGTGCTATGAGGTTCCACCTGTAATAGAAAGGGCACACAGCTCAGAGCCCGGCCAGCCCTGGCCAAGTACCAGACAAAGCCAGAGACAAGAGCTCTCTAGTATCTGTGGATCTGTCTGCTTCCTTCTGTCCTCTGAGGTAAAAATCACAAGACTACTCAGAGAACAAAACCAGAAGGTAGAGGCCTAGAACACAGCCTGAACTGCACACTGCTTCCAAAAGTGAACTTACAGGTTGTGCTGGTCATGTGCACAACAGGCGGGCAGGCTGAAGGCCTGGGGGACTTCTTTAGGGAGATAAGCCTCAGGCCTGGTTAAAAGCCACTAACTCCCAGGCTCAGCCTCCCAGAAAGCATCTTGGCCCCCAGAAGGACCCTTCAACGGCCCAGAGGTTAAGCCTGTCTGCCAGCCTGCAAGCTCAGTGTTTATATTTAAATCATCCCAAGGGAAACCACACTTCAAAGCACAGCCAGAACCTGGGGGAGGTGAGAGGAAAGAGAGAGGAGGCTGCTCAGGGAAGCTGAAGCCTGAAAAAGAGGGAAGACAGAGCAGCATAAAGAAGGCCAAGATTCTTACCCTTACTACTGCTCTTAGTGCTGGCTCTGAAGCTAGTTCCACTGCATCCCTTCCCTCCCCCTCTCGGCTGAGCACCAAGTGTCTCCCTACTGTGTGCACTCCCCACTTGAGGGCTACAAGATGCCTCCCACTGCAGTTCAAATCACAATGGTCCTTCGTGACCACCTCCATAGGTCTCCAGGCTTCAAGGACTTGGAGCATTTGTCAGTCTCTTTCTAATGGAATAAACTCTATGCACATTTACCTAACAGTCTCACACACACACCCTGTTGTATTTGCACACCTGTTTTTACATGGAGGTCAGGGCAAGAAATCTCATAAACTAGAATCCTGTGCTTTCCTCACTAGTCTACAGCAGCAACCATAATTTCATTTATAAACACTCTATTGTGAAATCTGGTTACAGCCCCAAATGCCAATCTCTTGCTTTCCTCCAGCCCCTCTCTGCCCACTCAGATCTCAGGAAGTGAGATCTGTTGATAAACTGGGCATAAGGAGAAGAGAGTGAGCCAGGCTGTGACCTTGTGCATGACAAGTGGGTATTTGCTTGCTGGAGCATCTCAGGTACTACGCAGAGCTAAACCTGGCAGACTGAACCTCTCCCTTTAAGGGCACTGGGTGGAGCTTTTCACTGCTAATAAACACATCCGTCTCTCTCCACACTTCCAGGCACAAGGTTTTCCATTGACCAACCTATTTTAAGCATCTACAAATCACATTCCTTTGCTTCATAGAAATCTGAATTCAAGCTTAACAAGCTATCTATCAAACTTGTCCTTCCACCCTACCCTACTGCACATTTCCAACAGGTAGAGGGGTTACAAGGAGGAAAGCCTAGATCTGGACTTAAAAGGCAAACTCAAGCTCCCACATAGAACAGGAAGCACTAGAGATGATCAACATGGCCATAGGTGCATTTGGTTAAGAAATTCACTATGGCCCGGGGGTCTAGATTTAGACTAAGTGGATATCCGCAGGAACAGAGTTTGAATGTAAAGCCCGATGACACACGATACTGTGCTTCAGCTCTAAGCACTGCAGTGGATAGATTAAAGGGCTCTGCTGCAGAATTCCTCCCTTCACAGCTTGCTAAGAAACATGAGATTGCTTTAAAATTTGTGTTCTCCCTTTTCACACCAGCACAACCATGATCCTTATTCATAACTAGGCTGAACCCAGCACAGTTTCCCTATTTTGCCCCAAGACACACGAGTAGCTGTGTTCTCCCAAAGGGCTCTAAAATAAAAACTGGACCCCAGATGCTCACAGCATAAAAAAATCTGCAAACAAGACTCTGGGTTTGTACAATTCTCAGAGCCAATAAGGAAAACAGCTGTCCATAGCAGGAAGCCCTTGATGGCACCCTGGAAAATGTAGGGTAGAATACAAGAACCATTAAAAGTGAGTGATTTGAAAACCCCAAACTCTTAACTACAGCCACAGTGAACACGCTTTAAAATTCACCCACCCAAAGCACAGCACAGCTCCTTGACCTTCCAAGCCCCACTCTACACAGTGCAGCCAAGCTGGAGGTTGCAAATCACTCCCTTCAGAACCTAGCAGCCCTCCAGTACCACCCCCAGGTCTAAGCCCAGCCACCAGCCAGAGGCCCAGCCTGCTCTCCTGTGTGCCCGCTCCCAGCCACTTGAGCAATAATCAGTGAGCCACAGGAGTACGGCGTGTGCTTGGCATGTGAAAGACCTTGGGTTCCATCCTCTGCACCCAAATTAAAAAAGAGAGCAGCAGGAAAAGCCGCATGGCGCTCAGGGTGGCTGCTCCCCAGCCTCGTCAACATAAGTTGCGCGTGTGCACTGATAAATGTGGTCTGTGGAAGCAGGGGCAGCAGGGCTGAGGACAGCTGGGAGGGCGGGTCCTACCAGACAGGGCAATTATTGATGATGCTGAAGAAGGCCCAGGCAGCCGCAGGACCTGGCTGCAGCCACAGCAGCCCGCACGGCAGCCTCCTTCCAGGTTTCCCGGGCCGAGCGACACACCTCAAGTACCCCTAGCGGAAGGGCATGCACCCTAACGCAGCTGGTCCTTCACCGCTCCAGGTTCTTAGCAAGAAATCGGAAAAAGCGCCCATAGAGAACTTTCTCTGATCAACTGAAAGCCTAGCAGTAAGGAGGCCCTGGGGGCCACCTCCTCCGAAGATCGCTGGCCGCTTCGACCCGCCCCTCTTCGGGGACCCACCCAGCCTGTGTGGGCCAATCATTGCGAAAAGACACCCCTTCCCCACCGCCACGCTCACGCACGTGCCCCAGCTGTGCCAAGATTTCCGAATGCCCTCTACAGGAAAGCGTAACTTCCACGGCCCACAGGTGTGACCCCAGCAAGAGAGGGAAAGTCCCTCCACGTCACTGCCATTGAAACTGCTGCCCAGGGCCACCACCCAAGAGAAGCCTGGTGCCCTCAGGACAGCCCCTCTGGCACTTTACCCCGATCTCCTGCGTCCACCGAAAGACACAGGCGTGGCCGGCGCGGCCCACGAGCCCTTGAGTCCCTGCCCTGCGCCTCTAGCCCCGGCCACGGCTCACCGCCAGTGTCCTCAAAGCGCGGCGGCGGGCGGTCCCGCAGAGCGGCGCTCCACCCCGCGCCGGCCTCGTCCTCCTCGGGCTCCGGCAGGGCGGGCGCAGGGGACGCGGGTGGCGCGGGGCGCTCGCGCTCGTCGTCTGAGGAGGCGGCCGAGGAGGAGTGCGAGGCAGCCGAGGTGCTGTAGAAGGGGTTGCCTCCGCTGTCCGCACCCGACTCGCCGAACACGTCGTCCGAGATGTGCAGGCTCTCGTAGCGCGCGCGGGCGGCCTCCAGCAGCGCCGGGGCCCTCCTCCGCGCGCCGCCGCCCCCCTCGGCCATGGCCCCGCACAGGGCC